TCTCATTCAGATAGTTTATTGCAAATAACTCTTGGGTAAACTTTATCAGTTTCTCCCTCTTTAGTATCATATTTCATTTTAAGAATAATTGAAGATATTAATGTATGTACATAATATATAGAAGAGATATGAAATGTATCTCTTCTGTTTTTAAGGATTTTTATCAAAAATACTTTTTCTCTTTTCTAAAATTAGAAAATTGCCAAAGGCTAGGAGCTAAGAAACCCCTGATCCTTTTAGGTGTCTATGTGTCTCTGGCAATAACTGTTGGTGGATTTTCACAGGGAGCCTCTGTACAATAAACAACTTCACATGTTACCTTCCCTGGATAGCGAACATTCCTGGAACCTTGAGCATCTCCCACCCACATGTAGTACACAACACATTTAACCTTCCAGTATGTTGGCATTGCAGCTCTACTAATGATAACAAAACATAGACCTTTTAACTTACAGATTGTTTGCTTAAGGTTTTCAGAAAACACCCACATATTCTTTGGGTATAAACATGACAAACCAACACTGAATATTTGTATTAATCGAAGTGGTGGAATCCCTGCTCTGAAATAGGAAGGCAATCAGCATCCCAGCCAGGAGCAACTCTTTGCTTCCCTCGCAGATGAAGGGACAAGCCCTAACATCTGTGTGCTTGAGGCACATGAGATGTAAGCAAACAGCACACACTACTTCAAACCAACAATGTTTGAGGCGGATGGCATCCCGCACCATGTACAGGGGAAAAGGGTGAACAGGGAATTACCCTTGGGAAGGGAAGGAGAGGCCTTCCCTAAACTGGTCTCTGTCTCCTGGCCAGTCTACAATTCTGAGCTTCACAAAATGCTTCTGCCTCCACACATCCATGAAAACCTGTTTCTAGTAACTTCATTTTCATCTTCAGTTACATTTCAAAGAGCACAACTTAAAATAATTACTACAAAGCAGTAAGAAATTCCTGGCCTGACTCTGAAACAACTTTGCTTAATGTGTATAATGACATTTTGTTCATTTTGTTTTTAGTTTTTCCAGATTTGCTCAAAATTATCCCTGCAAGTATCCATGTTAGTGTCATTCTCTTCTGTATAGTACTGATCATCTTTGCTCTGGTGGGAGCAGGTTTCTTCATGTTCAATGCTTTTGGCAGCCCATATGAAACTCTGCATGGTCCTGTTGGGTTGTACCTCTGGAGCTTCATAGCATGTAAGTACCACCCCACCCTTGGCCTACCAGGCTGGTGCTGGTCCATGTGTGCCACTTATAATGGCCAATTATTGACATATAAGAGCAATATTACAAACCATGGCTGCATTGACTTCAAACTGGCAAAAAAAAAGCTAGGCAGGAAAATAAATGATTTAGCTGTATCAAAACATGTTTTTTCCAAATTGGAGTTAAGAGATAAAATGCTGAAAACCTCAGCAAGGGCAGGCAGCCACAGGAAGCATGGCAGGCAGCCTGGACACCTCTGGCCCTTCTGCATAGGCTGCCAGAAAAAGGGGATGGTGCCCACAAACCCCATGGACCCAGAGGTGTGGCCGCATCTTGGATCCACAGCATATGGTCAGAACTGGGAAGAGCACCAGAGAGGGGGAAGAGAGAAAAAAAAAAAAAAAGGTGAAAAAAAGTCAGAGATGCACCTGCTCACATTCACCTTGATGGGAGGTTTTCAGCTGGGTAAGCAAGATCACCACTTACACCAGCAAGATTTTCCCAAGGAAGGAAGGGACTGAAAAGCAGAGAGAGAGAGACTGAGAGCAACTAGCTGTAAAAGTAGTGTCTGAAAAACACTGCCAGAAGGAATAACAGACCGTCCCAGTCCCTCTGTCACTGAGAGAGGGTAAAGCCCATTCTCTGCATTGCTGGCTTGGCTGACAAGATGACTTACAATTACTTTACGAGATATGACATATTACAATCATAATTTGATACAGGACTTAGGTACATATTTAATTTTAAACACAATGAGCAGGTTAAAGCTGAAAAAGAGCACAGATGCTTTGCTGGATCAGGGCCCTAAAGCAGCCATGCTAAATATTGCTGGTCCTAAGCCAACTTCAATTTAAAAAGCTTACCAATTTCAATAGCTGTTCACTTGGATTCCCACTAAGTTATAGTGGCCATAACAACACTATCAACATAGTATTTGGTTGTGACATACAACATGTGGCCTTGTCAAGATAATTAACACCTCCCCCTCTTTTTCAGGTTCCTGTGGGTGTCTCATTATGATTCTATTCTCGTCAGAAGTGAAAATCCACCACCTTTCAGAGAAAATCGCTAATTTCAAAGAGGGAAATTTTATATTCAAGACTCACACTGAAAAGTTTGCAAATTCATTCTGGATCATCCTGGTTTGCTCCCTGTTGCAATTTCTGAATGGCTTGCTAATACGATTTGCTGGATTTGAATTTCCCTTTTCAAAATCAAAAGATTCAGGGACCATCACTGGAGCAGCTGACCTGATGTATTAGAATTACATCATTTAAAAACATTTCAAGCAAAGCGGTCCATCACTATGATATTCAACAGCCACCAGATATAATAACTTTTAAAATATTTCTTTAGAGCTAGCAATTTACAAGTGAAGGATTCAAACAAACATCAATATGGCATATGCAATAAAGAAAAGTCATGCTATTTGGTAATCTAGATCAAAACACTTTCTCTTTCTTAAGGTAAGACTTTACCAAGACATTTGCCTTTTTTTTACCAGTAAGATCTTTGAAAAGTAGTTGGCGTGAAGAAAACCAGGAACACCAATAGCATTGAACTAGATCTGGAAACTAAAATAAATGGGTTGCAAATAGAGGCACACCAGCAGCAACACTGCTATCACCAGCAGCAGTTCTGCCCTTTAGCCCTTGTGAAGGTACAGATGCAGTGGTTACCGCACACTCCCCATGTTGCACTACGCACTCCCTAAGCCCCAGTCAATATAAGGAACCCTGCCCAGAAAATAGCCCTACAATCCGTCTCTCATTAAACAATACAAATAAACATAGCCAAGACCTTTGGCAAAGAGCAGCAATGGAGTAACACAACAGACAGGCTTACAAGGCATGCTACAGCTCAGCAGAGACTGACAAAGAAACAAGTGAGGTTCTGTACTTCAGGGCATGCAGGAAGCCAAACTGGATGAATGCACCAGCCCTTGCACCCTTAAACTTCTGCAAGTCAGTTGAAGCAATCAGACTGCTCATCCCAGGTACAGCTAAGCCATCCCAGTCATAGATACATCAAAAGAGCATTATACCACCAAACACTACCTCCATGGGACTATGTGGGTACTTTGGAGATGAGTCACTCCTTGCAGGATACAGAAACAACATCTAGAGCAGACAGAAGTGGAGGTACCCAAACTAAGAGCCTCTGTCCAAGCTGCCCATTTATCTGCAAGAGCTGCAGCTCCTGCACAGCTGTGGGTGAGGAGCAATCCCACCCTGCATCTGCCCCAGCACCTGTGGAGATGGTCATCCTCCAGATCATGTTGGGATTCACATCACAAAACCATATGCTTTGATGACCTTACTGACTTCTCTGTCATCTCTTGTACTTTTACTATGAATATCAAAACATTGTTGGGGTTTCTCGGTGAAAGGTTTGTCAACTACACCCGTACTTCCCAAACCCTTTCACAAAGAAGCTCTGCCTCCGCATGTGGTACCATATCTCCCTAGATTTTAACAACATGTAAGGGCTACTGCAACATTTTAAATAATTTTCTTCTGATTTATATGCATATTCTTCTCAATGTATCTTCTTAAAGCATAAAATATAATACATCTCATGGTATTGTTTATTATATAGCAAATAATGAAGAGTAATGTTTCATCCTTCTTGTTTCTTATGTTTCATGAAGTGCTCTGCTTGGCAGCAGTCAGCAGTGTATGGGATCAGACACACAGGCTGCTCATATGTGTGTGTCTTTCTGAGTGATACTTGCAAGTCCTTGAAGAAGCTGGTTTGTATGTCTAAAATGTAGAACTGCCCAGACCTGCCTCAGCACAGAAGATAAACCTGTTCTCGTCCCTTTTGCTGTGCAGGAGAGAGCAGGGGTTCAGGAGTTTTCACAGGGGATCACTTTTCCCAAAGAGCCCGGCTCCACTGCTCCCCCCATGTCCCACCCCACTCACAAACCTGAGGCCAGCTGTTATATTTATCCATATCCATTTCCAAAGGCAAACATAAAAACTTCTTACTGGCAAAATAAAACTGAGGCGATATTTGTGTGTTTGACCTGCTGAAAGTAACGTTTAAGGTGAGTATGACCTGCTCAGCTTGTGCTTCTGGGTGAGCACCAGCATGTGCCCTGTAATCAGCGGAAGAAGTTTTACCGTTTAATTTCTACTACCATAGTTCATGATCAAATAAATAAATAAATAAATTTATAGCAAAGGGAAAAATATCTAAATATATTTTGAAGATTCTTGAAAAAACAGATATTTTCATATCCTAATAAAAAGTTAGTAGGCACATGCATCTGTATGTGTGCCTGCATGCAGTTTGCATATATACAAATACAAACATATATAATATATATATTGGTGTATGCATACAAGTGTTTCTAACAGGCTTAGACTACTAGCCCACTATGCTGGTGTAGGGGTGAACACCAAACACTGAAACTCAGAGACCCCCAGTCGGTGCCTTCTCCCAGACTGAAAGAGAACAAACCACGAGATTTCCATGACCCTGGCAGCAGGAAAATGGGCCTGACCCATACCCCTAAATGCCAGTCTTGCTACCGGAAGCGAGAGAAGTCAGAGGAACATCAGTGCATAGGTTTCGCCTTGTCTTGTCTCTCCAGTGAATTTGCTCAACTTTACAGACATCTCCTAAGTCGGATTTTTTTTTTTTTTTCCTTGAGCTAGACACTTCCCACCCAGCCCTCACAGCCCAGACCCCATCCTGCTTCTGATCAGCCTGCACAGGGGGAGCTGCAACCCTGCAGCTGGAAAATCCCTCCCTGCTCCTGCACCAAGACCTTGCAGAGCAGACACATTGCTGTGGCCAGCTTCAGACAGCTTTCCATCTGCATTAAACATTGACACTGCTTACACAGCAAGCAAAAAAACACAGACTGTGACAGGCTTTCATGAAAGTTTAATTGCGTTGTGGCAGTGGAAGCTGGTAGAGGGGATTCGGGTGCCTGAAGAAGAGCCGCTCCCTGAGCAGCCCCAGTGCCCACATCCCTTCGCATCACCCTGAGCACGATGGGTGACCAGGAAGCTGAGCACACTGTGCCACAGACAGAGATTCAGGTGATCGCCAGCAAAATTTCAGATCTAAACAAATGGAGAAATGTTTTCAGTTTCCATAGGTAAGATTTATAGTCTGCTTCATCATCATGTTTTAATTCCAGGTGTTTTCTTAATATCATATTTTAAATTATGCTTTATTACAACACTTACATGACCACGGAAAAAAGGTTTTAATGTACTCAGGAATGCAAGTACTACAGCTTTTTCTCTTCCTTTCTTTGTGGTTTCTTTTCTAGCTGGTCTCCTGTTTCTTCACATGCTAGCAATGCCTCTGCTGTTGGTTTTGGGGTTTGGTTTTTATTCTGTTTTTTTTTTAATTTGTATTTTATTTTCCCTTTTCAGTTTGGAAATCAGCAATTCAACTTATCAGGTAACTGCTTCTCTAAAAGTTAACATCTTGTATTTGTCTAGTGGTTTTTGTGACTGTTCCACCAGATTAGCATAGGGAGGAAATTGCACATCTATATATGCAGGACAGCAGTCAGCCTTTATGGATATTTATTTCTTATGCTCCTCCTTTAAGAAACAGGCATTTTCTACAGATATTTTAAAGGAATGTCTTGTCTTCCTGATCTAAATCGACGTGTCAGAGTAGCCCAACATAAATTAACCTTTCTATCTAAAAGTAACAGTTTTCATGGTCAGTTTTGGAACACAGAAAAACAGGGTAACATTATGAAATTTCTGAAATAGAAATATTTGGAGAACCTGCTGTGTCTTTAGGTTGGAAAGCACTGAAGTTTATTCCCCGTAATTCAGACAAACACAACATTACTATGTACTCAAATCATTGGCTTGTAAGGATCTATTTGTAATGTTTGCAAAAAAGCTGGAGGTCTGTCCTGGTTTAACCCCATCTGGCAACTAAGTATCACTAATAATCAGCATTACTCTCAGACTAAAGCTGAAACACAGCACTGTACCAGCTACTAGGAAGAGAATTAATTCTATCCCAGCTGAAACCAGGATAAGGTCAAACACACTGATGCTCCCTGGCAGCACATACTCCCCTTCCCTGCCTCTCCACAAGCCAATCCCAGTAGAGTACTGAAGGGGGTAACTTTCAGGACACGGAGGCAGCAGTTGTGGCATGACTCCCTGTCTGCTCCTCTCTCTGTCCAGCAAGACGATGGCAACACTGGCAATGGAGTACCTGGAGCCAGAGAGCCCTTAGGCCTGCAGCCGCCGGTGCCTCTGCCCCGTTCCGCCATCCCTGAGCCCCTACTGACCTCTCCAGATGCAGGCGGCCAGCCCATCTCCTTGGAAATGGCAATGGTGAGCAGGCCTGCTGGGTTACGCATGAGCTGTAATATAATCTCATTAAAACAAAGAGACTCAGAAACCTTATCTGGCATTGTGGGAGGCTCAGCATATTGCTGGGCTGAAGGCTGTAGCCTTCTGTTAGCTGTAACAGAAGTATGAAACAGTAATGACTTATTTATGAAACTTTGAGAGAACATGGTTGCAACACAACCTGTGAACAGGTATACTATAATTCTCATTAGATAATAGGTCAAATGACAAAGTGTAATGTTTCCCTGCTCTTTGGTGCTTTCTTATCGAATAGCCTCAGAATGGGAGGCAGGAATTCAGGAGATCAGTGAGAAATTTCCACTCTCACTCAAATACCTGGGTTTTAGAACACTAATGAGTGCCTGCTGCCCCTGCCCATATGAAAAGCCTCTGGCCAGGAGCTCAGTAGTTTTCTGCAGGTAATGGCAGAATGGGCTCTGGTGCTGACCTCACTGCCTGTGACCACCCACACCAAACCAGTCCTTGGCATTTGAGCACAAACTCAGTGAGAATCTCAAGAGTCCGGGTCTTCCCCCAGAAGGTGTAGTGCATCCAAATGTAAAGTATTTACATAACTGTTGTGGTTTAAACCCTAGCCAGACAGCTTGTTCACTCACTCCCACTGAGTGGTGCCGGGCTGAGAGCAATCGAGCCCCCCCACCCCGGGCTCTCCCCTTCCCCACTCCCAGAGGAACAGGGAGGAGGATTGAAAGAGTGCAACTCCCACGGGTTGAGACAAGAACAGTCCAGCAACCAATGTACAACACAAATCACCACCGCTACTACCAACGACAACAATGATAAGGGAAAATAACAAGGAAAGAGAATACAGTACCACTGGCCAAGAAACGAGTCCCACCTGGAAGCCCGTGTCCTTCTGTTTCAAAAAAAGTTGATGCTTAACAATCAGAATCTTCAAACTGAGCTATTTAGTGTGAAATCCTGCTCTGAAAAACGACTGTGCAATGATAAGAACATCTTTCTCCCTTGTGTATGACAGTTTATTATATGGTGGGGCCTCTTTGGCACGCACCACCTCCTCCTCTGGTGACATTCCGAAACCTTTGCCCTCTGTCCAGTCCATGATGACTTCTAGAATGCCTGGACGACTGGGATTTCCTATTCGAGTTTGTTGTGTAATTAGTGCAGCCCATTTACTCCATGTAGCATCAGTTGCATGATGTGTAGAGGAGACCCTGCCTTTGAACATCCAGCCCAGCACAGGCAACTGGGGTGCCAGGAGGAGCTGTGCTTCAGTGCCAATCACTTCTGAAGCAGCTCGAACCCCTTCACAGGCTGCCAGTATCTCTTTCTCAGTTGGGGCATAGGTGGCCTCAGATCCTTTGTATCTCCGACTCCAAAAGCAGAGGGGTCGACCTCAAGTCTCCCCTGGAGCTTTCTGCCAGAGGCTCCAGGTAGGACCGTTCTCCCCAGCTGCAGTGTACAGCACATTTTTTACATCTGGCCCGGTCCGGCCTGGTCCAAGGGCTACTGCATGAACTATCTCGCATTTAATTTGCTCAAAGGCTTGTTGTTGCTCAGGGCCCCATTTAAAATCATTCTTCTTCCGGGTCACCAGGTGCCCAACGTGGGGCAATTGTACTTCCCAGGATTGTTTGAAATGCTGAGAGTGACTAGATTAAGCACAAACATCACCTTTGCTTTGTGGGGCCTGATTTCTCGGTAGACAGCTTTATACTGCTCTGGCTGTGAGCATATGCACTGACCTTGTATCCCAAGGCCCCTCTGATGCTGACAAAGCCAGGATGTGAAGGGGGCTGAACCCAGCCTGTCTTTCTCCTCTTCAACAGGAGCTGCGGAAGCTGCTATTTGGAAATGTGTTCCAGCTCTTCAGCTGTGAATGGGCAAAAGCATGTTTCAGGTTTCGTGAGCCATACTCTGACCTGGCCTATGCTTTGGAGACAGAAAAGGTAAGTATTTCAGCACAGCAACCTGCACCATCTCCTCAGTGTCTCAGCCACTAACAGGAGCTGGCCATCAGTGCTGGGTGTCTCAGGAGTGTCCATGCCTGTACCCTGCGCTCTGCACACCTGCATGCCATGCTTGCACCTCACGCTCTGCATGCCCACACCCCATATTTTGCATGCCTGCAACTGCACACTCTCCACATCTGCACCCTGCACTCTGCATGCCTGCACCTTACGCTGCATGTCTGCCCACTGAGCTTTCTCCACAGGCAGACTGTGGGGGCTTCCAACCACAGCCATGGTCCACGGCCATCTTGAGCAAGCCTCCAGCTGCCCTCGCAGTGGCAACTGAAGCGTGTCTGGGAGTGGGATGAACTGTTCTGATTCAGCAGCACAATGCATACACAAGCTTTAAATATCACGGTATTAAATGCTTCCAAGGTGAAGGCTCAATAGAGAAGCAGTGGGTTGTTGCAGGTAGGCACGAATAAGCAGTATCTGCCTGTTTCTTTTGGGGTAGAGTTACGTACTTCTTTCTACCCCACCTGGAAATCAAACAGGTGAATTTACCTACATTTTCAAGAGGGAGGTTTTCTTCTTCCTTATTTACCACCATAATACTGACCCCCCAAAAAGCAGAAGACTAAGGTACATGCTTAAAGTTGCAAACACCTTTAATCCACCAGGAAGTTAACATGCTCTTACAAATGCAGGTGAAACTCTGAGTTCAGAGGCTCTGTGACTGCAGAGAGGATGACAGCCCTGACGTGAGGCACCAGCACAATGGGGAGCAGGCATGGCCACCCTCGTGCATGGCCTCATGTCAGCCCCATGCTGCCTTGAGATCCTGGTCCCTTTGCTGACAGGCTGGAGGAGAGAGAAAACAAGCCGTGGTGCTTCTAGGCACATGTGGCATGTGGGGCTGAGAGCCCTTCCCTGCAGCTCTGGTGCTGCAAGGGAAGGACCCCTGCCTAGGACCTGCCCTCCCCATAGGCACACAGCCAGGGCCACCCTGGAGTCTTTTCTTGTGTAAAGGTTTCTTGGGTATAGGCACATAAGATCTTTTTCAATTTGCTTTTCTATTTATCTCAGGAGCTGTCAGTAGCACTTCTGAATTCCCATGGAGAAAAGAAAAAACTCTCCTAACAGTGGTATTGAGATGGCTCACATTGACCAGGGGTTGCGGTGATTTCCAGATGGACACAGCAGGAGCTAGTTCAGGCCCCTCAGCACTAGGGAGTGTCATCTTTTTGTTTCTAGGGGGGAGCAAGAGCCATTCTGATGGCTGTACAAGCATACATCATCAAATACCTGCTCTTCATAAGAACCACAGAATACACTCACCTGGAAAGGTAAGAAGCTGAGCCTTCCCCTGGGACACACGGAAACTATTTTCTTGCATTATTTGAATTGAGACAGACTAGCACCAGCCCCTAGGTTTAACTGAACTAGACACATGTTCAGGTTTGGAGCTAAAGGTGGGGATTTGCACCCAGGAGAAAAGCCTCATCTGACTCCAGACAAGGCTTTTCCCCCAAAAGAGAGTTGTTTTTTATAACAATGGTGCTTGCTCCCTTGTCCCACTCCCTGGCACCATGGTCACAGCCTATGGCAGCACATGGATAACATTAGTGCTGCACAGCTGCCCCACACCATGGGCAGCACTGGGAGGGAAGGTAAAGCTCAGTTTTTGGTACTGGGATACCCGCATGGGACCCCCAGAGCCAGGATGAAACCCCCATGGCATGGCACACATGTTGCTCCCAGCACATGGGAAGCATATCCTTACAAGTAGCAGCAACAGCACCAAGCAAAAAGTGGAAATTTCAAGGACAATGGGCACTTGCTGTGGCTTCACAGTCCTCACAGACACCAGATAGGCAGGGCAGGGCCTCTGGGGTTCAATCCAGCCCCTGCTGGGAAGGGCCCTATTCACACTCAAGGTCAACTCCAGGACTGGGGGGTCTGTCAAAATCCCCAAGGATGGACCCTTGACACAGACCTCCTGGACCCATCTTCTCTGCCGCATGCCTCTGCCTCATACACTGCAGGCTGTGTAGGGTAAGCCTGCAGGAGCAAGGGGAGGCGCTGGCAGCTGCCCTGGCAGACACCCTGTGGGCAGCAGGAGGAGGTGGGAGAGCCGTGATCTGCCTCACTGCAGCCATCCATGTGGTGCCCAGCAGCGACTACAAAGCCGACAACTTCACGGAAAGAGTGAGTACGAAAATGTCTCCTGCAAACAGGATTTTCTTTAAAGAAATTTTTAATTTTAATTAAATTCTCCTGAAATTTTTAAATCAAGAAACAAAATCTCAGAAACCTGTTCCCTAAGTTATGGTGTGGCACAGACTGTGAACACTTTGGACCCATGTCCCAGCTGCAGCCTGTGAGACACCTCTGCTTCCTTGTAGAGGCTTTAGGTGAGCAGAGGGGCTGCTGTTCCCTTTCATTAAAGGCTGAATTGTCTTCTCTCACAAAAAGGGGAAAACAGTTAATGTAAAGCTGTTCTTTTAACTCTTTGTATAGAGCTGAACTCCTCGGTTTTGGAGGCAGCAGAGTAGAATCCTGCACCATTCTTTCATTTGTCTAAAGGAAACACTGGCTTAAAAAGCTCAGCTGTTTGATATAATTAATGCCTCCTTTACGACATCTTCACCAACCTTCCTGCCCAACAGATCCATCTGTTTGAGTTCTCTGAGAAAGCAGCAGCTCAGGAGTTTATCCTTGGCCATATAAACTGTGTAAGTATGGGCTGGGTATTAGCTTTATTCTGACTTATTTTGTTGCTTGTGTACATTTTATTTCCCGTTCAAAAGCAGACCTTATGGATACCAATAGTGCTGCCATCAGGCAGTTATTCCATAAATCATTTCTAGCCTTTCCTATGGGAAATGATCCTGCTCCCACTAAAATCCCCACACTTTAGCCATCAATTTCAGCTCTTCCAATCCACAAACACCAGGCAAACAGAGACATCTTGCACATTACTTAAATATATAATACAGTTTCTTGCAAATACTGTTTTTTTAGCAAAAATCTGGGGGAAAAGTGTACAAGACCAGTTAAGTCACTAACTGGAAGTTTCATCTTTCCTTTCTTTAACCTGATCCTATTCATCAAAATTAGTTATAAAATCTTTCTGGAGTAACATTTTATTCATTTAGCTCAACACACTCACCTCAGGTTGTATTGAAGCAGATGAACTGTTTCGATTAAACATCACATACCTGTAATTCACACCCTGTGATTACTTCTTTTTCCAGTTCAAAGACGAACAAAGTCATGGAGTGATCCTTTTTTTATACAGTTTACTTTTCTCAAGGACACTTGAAAGGTATATTTAATTTTTTACACTTTTTCCTCTAATTTAGTTACATCTTCTGATGTCTTTTCCTTGTTTTACTTCAATGTCCATTCTCAGTTGAATGTGAAAAAGCAGGGACAGAAGCAGATACTGGTGGCTGTGTTTTGCAGATGCAAATACAGTACACCCTGAGTATCTGCACATCCAGGAGGGCAGCAGAGAGGAGAGAAACCATTTGCAAACACAGCAAAACAAATGCTCTGTGTAAACCTGGGAGTTATCTCACTGACAGCAACCATCACCTTCACAGTCAATTACACTTACACAGGAAAATCACAACAAGTGCATTTAAAAAGGGAAAAAATCTGCCGGTGTGACTGTGCTGGCAGAGGTGCCTGATAGGGTCTTTCTAAACCCAGCACAACTAGATTTGGGTAATAATGCTTTAGAAAGGTACACCTAATGCTTTAGAAAGAGACATATTTATTCCAATATAAGACATGACTCATATTAATGTGACACTATGACAGCTACTCTAGCAAAAAATTGCACCACTACTTCAAATCGTTGTGCTCAGGCTATGCCTGGGTTGTAACCAAGGCCTTTCATCAGAAATCGCACCAAGGGACACCCTGGCTCTGTCTGCAGGGGTGTGAATCTGACACTAGATTTGGGTTTTAAGAGGAAGAGATCTGAAGCACAAGAGCTACGACTGAACATAGAGCTGCTGTGTCAGGACAGCACTGCTGTGCCCACAGCACAGAGAAATAACGGAGTCTGTGGAATTTCTTCCTGTTTCCTGTTAATCAGACAGTGAGGTACAGCACTCACCTCAGGCACTGATCCAGGTGCTACTGTAACACTTTGTGTTTGGTGTTACAGGGTCCGAGAAGACTTAGACTGCACAGCAACTCCTCTGTTGAAATGCAGTTTTGGAAACATTACCTGTACACAGGTAAGATTAGCCTCATTTCTCCACTTTTTTTTTTTCTTTTTTAATTTTATTATTCCTACATTTGATTTAGGAAAAAATTCTCACTTGTTAATCCAAGGGGGGATAAAGGGGAGTGTATGGTAATAGAAAAATATATTTATAATTTTAATCATGACCATCCATTTTACAAACGGATGATGATAATAAGAAAGCCACAGGAGACCTGGCATTCCTCTGCTCATGACAGACACGACAGAGCTGGCAGTGGGACACCAGCTCCCTGTTGTGGAAGAGTCAGGCACTTCACTCATAAGAGAAAAGCAACGATACACCTTATTGGCTTGGTGTCTCAGACTTGGCCAACAGCAGTTTATGTCCAAAGGAATATATATGTATATTTTATGTATATTTATATATATATATATATATATATGTACACACACATAATCCTTTCTATCACTTAGGCAAGATTTCAAAGTTTTGCATGCTATTAGCCACCATCACAGAGGCCCACAAAACTGACTTAGGTAGGTTACAAGCTTGAAAGGATATTTATTCTAATAAAAAATAATTTAATGCTCCAACATTAGTAAATTACAGGTCCTAGATGCCAAGTGGAATCAAATACTACATGACTTAAGGTTAAGTTTTGCAGGGAATAAAACCAAAAATGCATTTCACTCACCAAGTCAAGATGAGGGCCTTCAACCTCAGAGAGTTGCCTCAGGCAGTGTCCTGACCCAAAGGGAGAGTCCTCGACTGCAGACCCACTGCCCTGGGGAGAACCGACTCAACTCTTGCCCTGCAGAAGGGTCCCATTTAGAAGTAGAATATGATCTATGGTAAAAATATGGTCTGAGGGCTCTTCGCTTTTGCCTAAAGTGCAGGTCTAGCAATGGCCAGTTATACAACAGCCAGCTGTACAACCCTGTTGTGACCAAAATCACCAGATTTTGTGGTTACCTGAGCCAGACCAAAGCCAGCAGATATCTGTAAGCACTAGCAGATATGGTTTTATATTTTACTGGAGACCAGAGTAAGCAGAGATATTTATTAGGAAGTATTGTGGCTCAACGATTCACCCCTCAGGTGGGTGCAGCTGCCACACCACCATTTTGTGAAGGGCATTTGCTCTGCTGCCTCACAGCATGACACAGGCTGTTTCCTTGCAGGCCGTGCTCAGCCTCCTCCTAACGGGACGAGCAAACCCGCATGAGCTTGATGGCAGCCAGGAGCTGGGGCCCAGAGGGGAGGGCATCGAGGCATGGCAGCAGTGGGGCCCGGTGGGCTACCTGCACTGGAGCAGGGCACAGGCAGAGCGGCAGGTGAGAGCTGGCAAGGCCTGTGGCTGGAAGGCACATACCTGATGTCCACAAACCAAAGTTTTGGGAACAAAGGCCATGTTCAATGCAAGGCTCTACTCTCTCTCCCCAGGTGTGCCCCAGGCTGAGAACACCCCGTCTGCCCATCTGGCTGTGCAGCATCACTGGGAGGCACAGCATTCTCTTTGGCACTGACAGCCAAATCCTCTCTGACTGGAAAAGGGAGAAAGTCTTCCACCTGTACTTCTACAATGGGCAGCTGGAGCAGACAAAAACAGCCCACCTAACTGTAGGTATGCACCCGAGCTTACCATGGAGGATATGAGGTATGGATGTCACATACAGACCATGCATAGAACTGTATATGTGTAGAGCTAGGTTGGTCTACTTACACATACAATTCAATGATCTGTGTTTAACATACATACACATAAACTATATATATTATATTAACCTTTCATGGAACGTGAGAAATCTATTCCAAACAACAGTATAAAAAGACACAAGCAAAAACCTGGCTTTGACAGGACTGTGACCATTTCAGAAGGGGTAATGCTCTCAAGCATGTGGCCCATTGCTCGGAAGAGCTATAGAAGTATTTGTTACAGAAGCAATAACTCCCAAGTCCCTGTGTAAATTCTGGTTGGCCGGCACCCCTCCCCAGCCCACAGCTGGGCACGGCGGATGCTCAGCACTGGGTGAAGCTGAGGTCATGCTGTTCCCCAGTGCCAGGGGCTGAGCAAGGGTCTGATGGACAGGTGCTGGGTGAGCTGCCAGGAGAGCAGAGTCCATCCCACCCATGGTCTGTGCAGGGGACAGCCACCAAGCTCCCCTCCCCAGGGCACAGCCTGCACTCTTGTCCCACCATGGGGCCACTCAGGACTTCACCGTTTTCTCCTTTACTCACAGACATGGCCAAAGAGTTTTTACTGGAGAAATGACAGTTTTTCAGGATACAGGATGCAACTGTTGCTTCTGTGTTAAATATCCAATATGGACATGCTGTTTAAAACCATTTAATCTCCTGTGATTATTATGCCCCCATCAGTCCAATATGAATGACCAGCTGACCAAGTGTCTCAGAACAACTAGTAGGAGTGAGAAAACCCACAAACACTCTCCAATCCCATGGAACAAATCCCAGGAGAATGTTCCTGTAAGTGCAAAGTTTAAATGCAACAGGAAATTTTATTTAATCATTCAATGATTAAATAAAAATTTTGAATAAAAGTATTCCCAAGGCAGCAGTGCTGGCATGCAGGGTGGGTGAACACCCTGTTTTCAGTATCTAACTGAGAGTTAAGTTTGTATTTTCCTGCCTACCAGCCAGGTGCCACCATGGCCATCGTGTTCCCCCTCAAATTTTAAATTCATACCCAGAGCAGTGAACTGCTTCTTGTGGCATCAAATGGGTTGTGAACCTGCCTGTGTATTCAGGATCTAACTTTCTCCATGCCACTGTGCACCGTTTACCTTTGCTTTCTGAATGTCCAACCTCTTTTTCTCACTCTCCTTTAACTACAGCATTTAAAGTGAGAAACTTCAAAACATCAAAGTAAAGCCTAAATGTGCAGGAAAGAAGGGCGAATCAAGATCACGGTCATGATAGACAGTGTGGCCACAGATAATGAAGTGTGCACCTGTTCAGAAAAACAATATGCAAACATATCCTGCAAGGACTTGTGAGCTGCATTTATAGTGCCTGAATTTCACAAGCATGGGAGGCAGCCCCTGGGGAGGCTGTGTTGGTGCTGCCCTGAGCTGCCTCCTGGGGCAAGGGCAGGCAGCACACCTGCAGCAATCCAGCCAGCTCTGCTTTTAACCTGTCCTAAAACTTTTTTTGAGAGGGGTTGGGTGTTTTAGACATTCTTTTTACCTGTGTTTCCTTTTCAGATACTCATTCACATCACTGGGAAGAGGACCAAAGTGAAGACCCAAGCAGCCCAGGGAAGAGGCGTCTGTCCGTGGAGATGGCAATCAGGACCAAGTGGGCAGGCGCAACCGTTAGCTGGAATGGGACAGATCCCTTCTTCTGAGGAGTCCCAGCATCTCCCACTTGCTGCCAAAGCCACCAAACACTGTGGTCTGGAGGCGAAAAACTTTCACCAATGAAACAACCTTTGGTGCCTTGGGCAAATGTCCTGTTCGGCAAGGCATTGCACTCACTGTGAAAGCCTGCGCTGGCGATGAACAGTTACTAGCAACGCTGCCTTGCTGCACACATTTTCCAGGTTCTGCCTCCCACAACAGCTGGCAGAAAAAGGAAAAAGGGTGGCAATTTGCTTTCCTCCCATGTCAGATATGTTAAAGAAATCAAGGTGTCTCTTAAGAGTGCAGTGGAAGTGAAATCAATATTGAGCATCGAGAATACTGCGTGCATCTGATTTGTTTAATCCAGTGGGTGCAACTGATTTAGCTATTTGCAATGAGTAAGGTTTCCTCCCTGTTCTCCACAGCTGTGACATCTGTAAGCAGTCTCTCTCCTGCTTCAGCGACAGCTCAAGCATGGTCCCTGGCCAGGTTGGCTCACGGAGCTACCCTGCATCCTGCACACCAACAAGAAAGCACATGGGAACCCAGGCAAAAGAGCCTTATGAGGTGCTCCTTGCTGTGAATTTATGACACCAAGCTGGGCAGAAGAGTTGATCTGCTTGAGGGTAGGAAGGCTCTGCAGAGGGATCTGGACAGGCTTGATAAATGGACCAAGGCCAGTTGTATTGAGATTCAACAAGCCAAAGTGTCTGGTCCTGCAGCTGGGTTACAAGAACTCCATGCAATGCTTCAGGCTTGGAGAAGAGTGTCTGGAAAACTGCCTGACAGAAAAGGACCTGGGGGTTTTGGTCAACAGTGGCTGAGCAAAAGCCAGCAGTGTCCCCAAGTGGACAAGAAAGCCAAGATCATTCTGGCTTATATCAGAAATAGCATAGCCAGCAGGACTAGGGAAGTAATAATCCCCATATACTTGGCACTGGTGAGGCCACACCTTGAATGCTGTGTTCAGTTCCGGGCCCCTCACTACAAGTAAGGCATAGAGGTGCTGGAGCATGTCCAAAGGGCAGTGAAGCTGGTAAAGGGTCTGGAGCACAAGTCTTAGAGGAGTGGCTGAGGGAACCAGGGGTGTTCAGTCTGGAGAAAAGAAGGCTCAGATGAGACCTTCTCACTCTCTACAACTACCTGAAAGGAGGTTGTAGCTACGGGGCAGTCAGTCTCTTTTCCCAAGTAACAAGTGACAGGGTAAGAGGAAATGGCCTCAGGTTGTGCCTGGGGAGGTTTAGATTTGATCTTGGAAAAATTTCTTCACGGAAAGGTCAAGCAGGGAAGTGGATGAGTCACCTTCCCTGGAGGATTTAAAAGGTATATGTGGTGCTTAGGGACATGGTTTAGTTGCCTTGGCAGTGCCATGTTAATGGTTGGATTCAATGTTCTTAAAGGTTCTTTCCAACCTAACCATAATTCTATGTTTCAGCAATTTTACTGACTCAGAGTGTGGCCAAGTCCTGGAACCCTGCAGCGGCCTGGTACATACAGGCGGGGCACATCACTCTTCACTCGCATTAATTCCTTTCTGCTTCCTTTTCTATAGACATCACCTAAAAAAGACCTACGAGTCATACCAAAAGCTGTGTTGCTAATGACAACTGTACGGCGAATAACCCTTTCTGCAAGCAAGTGATCTAGAAGTTTGGGTTTGTTTGTTTTTTTTTAAGAAAAAAGGAAAAAAAAAAAAAGGAAAGGAAGAAGTGGTCATAACCAGTCTGAGATTCAGCCCGGCTGGGGCACAGAGCCTGCTGGCTAGCAAGCTAATGTGGGGTCTGTAGCTGTCATTGCCCACCTTCTTTAATTTCTGCTCAAGAAAGAGGGTGGAGAAGAGCCCATGGTCAGGCAAGGCCCTTGCAATGAGATGCTGCAAGACAGCACTGAATGAATACCATCATGCACTTATGCAAATAATTAATAATGAATGAATGAAACTCTGTGGTAACTGCTAATGAGGCTTGGTCACCCAGCACAATACCATATATTGCAAGGCTATATATGCTGTATAATAGCTAAACAGGTTACTACAGAGATAAAAGATCAGCCTTCAAGAGCTGTTTTCCATGGCAAGGCAGCAGCGCTGCCCTTCCTCTTTCTCCCAGTACACCATGGGGACAGTCAGTGCGTCTGGCCCTGCTTGCACTGGCTCTTGGCTCACGCTGCAGAGAGGGGGCCCAGGGCTGCTGAGTCCATGTGAGCCCGTTGCCCTGCCGTGACTGCACCAGTGACTTGCCGTCATCACAAGCAGGGGCAGAGTACTCCATCCCCTCGGCTGTGCCATTGCCCCCAGAAAGCTGTCTCCCACCCTGGCCCCTTGCTCACTCACACCGTGCTGCTTCCTGTCCTGCTCCCAAGACCAGGTTTGGCAAATGCCTGTCTGATTGCTAAAGACAGAAAAAGGAATAGAAACCATGCTGCACCAGACTGCAGAAACATACACACCCACCACCTCCCTCGGCCTTTAATACTTCTGCCCCCACATCTTCATGTCTTTTTATAACCTTGCAGTGCAAGGCTAAATTTAAGCTGCTGATTTCCTTCAATGAGAACTAAGCCCTTGCTCATTTCTGCGAGGTAACATCATGCTTATGCATGCTTTAAAAATAAGAAGCAATAACAGTATGATCTGGCTATTAGTCAAACTTGTCTGAAAAGCCTCCACAGTTCCAGCACCTCAGAAAGCTCTGTCCTCGTGACAGAGACAAAAGCTACAGATTTTCACTCCTAGTCTGGAAATTTCTTTGCAGAAGACAAATACACCTTTCAAAACCCCACATGCATCCCACAGATACTAGGGGGTGCTCTCATGCCCTGAAATACAGGAATATTTGGGGGCATCAGGGGCTACCTGGCAAGGAATGTGAGCAACAAATACAGACACATGCAAATGAAACTCATGCCACATCTTGGCACCCTTAATGGTTGGACTTGATGATCTTAAAGGTCTTTTTCAACCTAGCTGATTCTGTGATCCTATGAGTCAATCTCAAGGGGGAAACAAGTATCAAAGCCTCTGGCAACTCGCGAACAAGCTGCAGGTTTTTACTCCAAGGAAAAGGCTTCTGACACCACACACTGCCTCTGGAGATAAACTCTCAGTTAACTTTCCTGGCAGGCAGGGAAGTTGTCAGCTCTTCCCCACGTGGATGTGCCAGCATCTGCAAGTCTTGGCTGGGTGCTGCCGCTTCCTTCGCAGTCACCCATCCATTGTCCTCCCCTCCATGGAAACATACCTTCAGGGGAGGTGGAAATATCCATCACTAGGTCCCCCTCCTACATGGATCTAGTTGCTGATAATCTCTCATCAGCGATCTGAAGAGCTCTGAAACTGCAGAGAAGACAAGCAGACCTTATTTCTCTTAACACTGGTTTACAAATCATCTTTTACACTGCAAGCAATTATTCTGATAGTGTAGACATAGTAGCCTATCACATTGGAGGGAGCCAGCTTATAGTTATCTCCAGAGGCTGGTGTCTTTGTTAGTGAGGATCAGTAGATGGAGAAGTCAGTGCCAGCCTTGTACTGCTACCATAAAAGTCAGTTGGAGAAACTCTCTAAGGCTCAATTTGGAGTTTTAGAAAGCAGGCATTCTGTATCACAGCACTGGGTGCACACGCGAATCATTTTGCAAAGGTGAGCACACCCGTTTCTTTCTGGCAGCAGCTACATATTTAGCATACTCATGCATATCCAGGAACTAATTATAATATTTGCATTTTAATTATGTGTGCACTTTCTTGTTGAGTGGGGGTCTCTGGCAATCACCAACAGTCTTCCTCACTGGGTTTACTGAATGACCTCAGTGCCTGTGCACACTCGCAAGGTCCTAGTGCTGAGTTAGCAGTTGGTATGTCCTTGCTTCTGTTCTATTCCCCACCCCATGTTGCATGCCACTGCTATCTTGAAAGCTGGCATCCTTGGTCCTATTTACTGTCTCCTTAGTTGTTATCAGTCCCATAGTGTTCCTTCCCCCCGCAGCCCCGTCATTCCTTTCTCTCTACATGTTAGTAAGTTAGAATGGTTTGGTCTATCCTACTATGTTAAAGGCACACACACTATTGTTAGTTTAAAATTTAAGCCTACAGTACCTTTTGGGAACTTACTTGACTGGCTCAGTCTGACTGGTACACTCCCATTTATCCCAAGCAGAAGAAATACACTGTATCCAAAGTACATTATACGTTGAAAAGGAGTCTTCAGGGTTGCTAATAAAAAAACTGGGGTGGCCACATTCTGACATTAAATATATATATAGATTTAATACATATATACACATTATATATACACATACATAGCTTAAATAACTTATAGTTTTTATATATATACACATATATAGCTTAAATAATGTATTTTTAAATTACCCTGTATTATTGAAAGCACTGAAAAAAGTATATTTTATTTGTATAAACATCCCCACTATTCTAGTCTATTTGTGAAAAGGCTCTTATTTTTTCTCTTCCCTATTAATATATAATATATATATTATATATACCTTTCCGATTAATATATAATATATATATTACATATACCACAGAATACGTAAAAAATCCACAAACCAAGTAAGAAGTCTTCTCCAAGACGACATGACTGTTCTGGCCTTGTTTTCATGCCAGACAGTGGGATAGGGGTAGGGGGCAAAGGACTCATCACTCCAGGATGGAGACCAGAATCTCAAGGTCTGTGAATATTAATTGTCTAATCTCAAAAGACACACTCATATGCCTACGCCAAAGTGTCTCAACAGCTTTACACCCTAAGGAGTCAAATTGTTCCACGTACAATGAGCCAAGAGCAATCACATACAAGAGGCCAAGTGCAACCCATTTACAAGAATTACAGAATCATCTAGAATGATCAAACTAGGTTGGAAAACACCTGTAAGATCATCCAGTCCAACTGTTACCCCAGGACTGCCAAGTCCGCCACTAAACCAAAGGCCTCATCTACATGTTTTGTTGAACACTTCCACGGATGGTGATTCCATCACTTCCCCGGGGAAGCCTGTTGCAATGCCTGGCTACCCTTTTGGTGAAGAAATTGTTCCTAATATCCAGTCTAAAACTCCCCTTGGTACAACTTGAGGCCATTACCTCTTGTCCTATCCCTCGTTACTTGGGAGAAGAGATTAGCCACCTCCTCTCTCCGTCCTCCTTTCAGCTAGTTGTAGAGAGAGGTAAGATCCCCTCTGAGCCTTCTCCACACTAAACACCCCCAGCTCCCTCAGCCGCTCCTCATAAGCCTTGTGCTCCCGACCTCTCCCCCAGAGGCCAGTGACCCTCGTACCAGGCTCCCAGCGCAAGCCCTGCACACGGAGCCGAGTGCGTCCCCGGGGGCCGCCGCCCTCCTCCGGCGGGAAGGTGGGGTAGGAAGCGGCACTTGCTTTGCGCGCGAGGGCCGGCGGTAGGGCGGCAGCACCGTGGGCGCTCCGTTACCGCGGACAGCTCCGTTGCCGGGGTAACCGCCCCTCCCCGTGCTCCCGCCGCCCGGAGCATGCCGGGACCGGGGCGGAGGCCGCGCGCAGCCGCTGCTCGCCTCGGCACCGCCTCCTCCTTCGCTCCCTCTCCCTCCGGCGGCCCGATGGTGGTGGCGGTGGCGCGGCGCGATGAGCCGCCCGTCTTCCGCCGGCCCCGGCGCTAGCAAGCCCTGCGGCAAGCAGCAGCACACCCCGTCCCCCGCCGTGCCCGCCGCCGTCCTGCCGGGACCCGGCGGGGCTTCCTCGCCCCCTCCTCCTCCGCCACCTCCCCCCCCGCCGCCTCCTCCTCCTCCGCATCAGCACCACGAACTGACCTCGCTCTTCGAGTGCCCGGTCTGCTTCGACTATGTGCTGCCGCCCATCCTGCAGTGTCAGGCCGGGCACCTGGTCTGCAATCAATGCCGGCAGAAGCTGAGCCTCTGCCCCACTTGCCGGGGCTCCCTCACCCCGAGCATCCGGAATCTTGCCATGGAGAAGGTGGCCTCAGCCGTGCTCTTCCCCTGCAAGGTAAGGGGAGGAGTGGGGGGCTCTGGGGGGAGAGAAAGGTGGGGAGGGGCTTGGAATGTGGGGATGTCCGGTCGGCCAAGCAGGATATTCTCCCCGCTCTATCCCCACCTCCCTACCCTCAATCTTCAAGCTTTCTCCACACACCCTTTTCCCTCATTAAAAAAAAAAAAAAAAAAAAAAAACGGTGGCGCAATGGTCAAAAGAAGGGAGAGAAACTTTTCATCGGAAAAGTTGGCTGCTCACAGCCACATTGAGTCCCGACTACCGGTGGAAAAGCTTACCGGTTTGGGCGTTTCGGTATAAACACGGCTTTGAAACGTAGTGGTTTTCTTTTGAACGGCCGAGAGATATTCTTTCAGGGTGAATAATCTTTCAGTTCCGAAACGCTGTAAACGAGCTGCAGTAGGTACAGCGTCACATTTGGGTTTGTGGTGGCCTCGGATTTGTATGCTGAAAGACCGAGGAGGGGAGAGCACACCAATGGAGAGTTTCCCGGTGGGTTTATGTCTTGCCTTTGTTGCTAGCGTGATAGAGAAATATTGCAGCTCATGAGAAGACTTTAAGGAGCTTTCTAAGCTTTATCCAATAAAGGTTCACTTGGCAGTTTGCAGAAGGCAATGGTATCAAAAATGCCTATACCAAAGATACCCTGAGAGTCTCCAGCAACAGCATGTGGGACTCATCCAGAGCCACTGCAGGCAGCAAAGCTCTGCAAAGCCTGAATTTTTGGCTGGTCTGTATCCCCTTCTTTCCTTTATTTCCACCCCACCATAAACACTGAACAGCAAGGGAGGTGCTTGCTGGTCTCCATTACCCAATTTCATGAGTCTGCAGGTTTCTAAAGTGAAACAAGATGATGGGAGTGCCACCAGCCTTTAAAAGCAACACTTCTAATGCTTCTTTCTCATTCACTGAAAATCCTGCTCTAAATGTTGTCCTAGTATTTTGCACAACCAGTAGATAAAAAAGCTAAACCTTTTTTTCCCTCTCCACAGTTATTTTAACCTATGCTGATGCTCAGTCCTTAACAAGTGGTTTATGGAGGTAACAGAAACTATTCGTGTCTCTCTTGTTAGCTCCCGGCAGCCCTCCTTGGGAAGGACAGGGGCTGGTAAGCTGTCTGGTCAGTAACAATACCTGAATTAGTCTTTTTTTTTCAAGTCTGTTCTGTTTTCAGGTCTGTTCTGTTGCAGAGTTGCATAGTTTAATACTATTCCAAGTATTAAACATTGAAGTCTCTTCTCTTTAGTGAGTTTGTACTTTGAAAGAACTAAGTGAACTGCTCTATTGTACACATCCTTCCTAATAGACATTAACCAGGACAGCAGATGTGTACATGCAGGCAATGCTGAGCAGGTCATTTTTATGTCTTCTTGGAGCCTCTCAATGCTTGTACCTCTGTAGTACCAAAAGCACTTTAAAAAAATAAGCTGAAGTGACGTAGGGACAGATACAGGAACTGCTGGAACTGTTGCTGATGTAGACTATAAGAACAAAGTTTTAGCGCATATGGAGCTGTGCATGGCAAGGTGAGGAGTTATGGTCAGGCTGCCAGTGGGACCAGTGTGGCCAGAAGGGTGCAGTGAGAGCTGTGAGCAGGCTTACTCCACCTTTACCTGGAAAAGCCAGTCCCTTGAGCAGCTGTCCCCAGCCAGCCCACAGGAGCATCATTAAGGATCCACAGGGAGTAACGGCACCTCCAGAGCCAACTGTCTGTGTCAGTTCCTGCAGCACAGTGTGGTTCATGGCAAGAGCCCCATCTGACCCAGGGCTGGCTGGGTCACAGGATGTGATGGCTGTCAGCGACTTGCAGAGCTTTTGACAGCGTGGGACTGTTTCACTGCTCACCCTTAACTGGGAGGTGGCAATAGCAGATGGAGCATGGTGGTGGGACACAGGTCCTCTCTGCTGAGCGCAGGTGCAGTGGGTTGGTCTCATCTGTGGTGGTTGATATTCCCTGTTTGTTTTAAACGAAATGGAGCAGAGTCCTCACACCCTTCATTGTTTGAGCCACAGCTCTGCTGCCTACAGGATGCCAGTTTTTCCAGCAGCCAAACCCCTAGGCAGGAGTCGTACCAGCTTATCCCCAAGTGCTGGGGATCAGCATCTTGGTCATGGACCGGGAGAGATTTGGCTCTGACCTGGTAGTGTTTTGGTGGTCTCTGCAATAAGCCAAGGAGCAGCACATGCCTTATGCTGTGCTGGTCAGCACGTTGGAAGCTGCAACAGGCAGGAGACTGTGGACTCCAAGCTTGGGACTTGGTTTGTTTTCCTGGTACAGTGCCTGTAAGCGAGTTAACAGCTGGTAGAGCTGGAGAGTGACTTTGACCCAGCAGTGGTCAGTGTGCTGCATCTCCCTGCTGCCCAGTGAGATGCCAGTGCAGGCAGGGGTGGCAGCAGTCCCTGGCCCCAGCTGTGTGTGTGGGGCAGCCAGGCAGCACTGCCTGCAGGATGCCAGGTTCTCCCGTGCCACGCTGCAGTGGTCAGAGCTGCGCCTGTGAGTTGCCTACCTCAGACCATGGCCCCAAAAACGTGACGCTCCTGAAGCCCCGCATCCCAGACCGGGCTGTGGTACAACCCACACTGGAGCATGCATCCTCCCTGCGTTTCAGCATCCGCTCCGAGTTCTCCACCCCTCGCTCACTGGGCCTCCAGAAGCTCCTCACAGAGGTGTAAATAAGTCTCTCCTCCTCTTTCCTCACACACCCTCTCTTTTATGTGTTTTTTTTCTGCCGTGAGCAGTTCCTGCTCTGCTGCTTTCACTGTTCCCAAGAGCTGCAAAGTGAAATTAGCACACATTAACGCTTTTCACTCTCACTTTTTTGAGCCCAGAAACAGCGACATGCTGTCAGGGCTGTAATTCTCAGTCAGTATTATGTAGGTCACAGGCAGCCAGCAGGGACGTGACCCACCATGTCCCTCAGCAGTGAGCATCCATCAGGTGCTGCAGCAGCACAAGGGGTTTTGGCAAGAACCACCCTGCTCTGCAGCAGCACTTAGCAGCTCACTGGGGCCTAGCCCTGTTCTGGCTCACCTGGGGGTGTCACCACATTAGAGGAACCCAATATAAGCTTTCAGAGAGAGAGGGGGGAAAATCAGAGCTTCAGAAAATGTGAAAGAACAAATAGAGGGGCTGGTCTGTCCAGAGGAGGTCCCTGCTCTTCTAGAGACAACTGTGAATTGTTATTGCACCTCTGTGCTTTACAGGGCTTCCGGGAAAAAAAAAAAAAATAAATCTATAGGAGGATTTATATCTTAAAGTCACAGTAGAGTTACTGAAAATATAAAATGCCTGTTAGTGCTGTAAGCAATCTGCAGAAGATAAAATGCACATCAAACACACTCAAACTCCTGATTAATAAGTGCCAAAAGGAATGAATTGTTTTTCTTTCATCTTTTAAATAAGTTCACATGGAAAATAATATAGATGTGCTTTCTAATGATGAAGCTGACTTAATTTGGAAGTAGATCCTTCTGTAACTTTGTGGGGTTTGTCATATATGAACTACAAAAGAAAATAAATCTTATGAAGTGGGAGCTTCTTGAACAGACACCAGAATCTATTTTCACAGCAGTTGTGTGAGGTATGGTGTGATCATTAGCTGCTAAACTTGGAACCGTGACCTGGCTAACCAGGCAGTGTGGGGTGGGAGGTGTTACTCAAGTTAACCACTTCATCAAAAATCTATGAGGAAACAAGTAGAGTTGTGAGTGTTCTCCGTTGTCACCAGCAGAACTGCAGTCCTTGTGTAGCCATGAGCATTAAGCTGACATCCATGCCCTGCCATGTTTTGTTAGCCTGTTACAGTGGGGTTTGACAAACTGCTTGAGTGATCTTGGCATGACATGGGACCAGCACTCCTCATCTTCCCTGTGTAAAACAGCAGGCAGTTACTGCTTGCATTTCAGGGAACTAGAACGTGCCTCCAACATACAGAGGCAAAAAACAGTCCAGCACTAAGGAAAGAATATCCAATAGCAAATTCAGTGTTTTTTACGCCCTGAGAGCAGCCTGGCTGGGCAGCTGTATAGATGGCATTTAGCAGTGTGTGATGGGGAAATAAATATTTAAAACAAACAAACAACAAAAAGAACCACCACCACCCCAAAAAAACCCAAACCTCCTTCATAAGTATACCAGTGAATTCTCACTGTTATGATTAATTCAACCTAACAATAAGTTTTACTTAAAGGAAATTACTTTTCTAGTTATTGCATACATTTAAAAAAATCTAAGTACCTCGGGCTTTTTCAGGGATTGAAACCCCATTCTTACCAGCTTTCCTCAGAGCAGTGATGCTCTGCATATTGGAAGCTGGAAGAGATACTCGCATGAAGAGAGTCTTCTAAAAATCATAGTTGTCTCTAACTGAAGATACTGCCATGTTCCTGAGTTACCAGGTGATTCTGGTTCTTTTGAAGAAAAGTGAATCCAGTAAATTCATTATATTGTGCTCTCACACTTTCCTTTGTGGAAAAATTTTTTTGCATCTCATGACCAACATTGTGTTTGAAAGTGGAAGGCACAATAAGACTGTATATAAGCAAGTCTTAAATAACCACTTTTTAAAATTTTGTTTAGACAGGTAGTAGGAGGTAGCCAGAACCACCTTACATCCTTAGACCACTGCTGCTACACCATTAGTTCAGGAGAAAGCATGACAGGTTTCCCATGTAAGCAGACAACTTCCAAACAGAAATTGCATGTTCATGTTATTGTATCCAGACTTACTTGTATATATTGTCCAGTGCTGCCTCTGTGGCCTATTAAGAGCTTTATTTAAAAAAAAAACAAAACAACAAAAAACTGTGTCATTTTAAAGATTTTAAGCAGATCTACTAAACCTGAGTAAGATCACACTTCCTATTTTCAACACATAGTAGACTCTAGTAAAGGGGGAGGGACATTGATAAAAATGCAGTTGGTTTTGGTTTTAATTGAACAGATACCCGTTATACACAGGTGTGTGCTTACATCATGTTGCCTGCACATACACAAAGAGCTCACAATCTCTAGATGAAACAACAGGACATTCACTGGTCCTATCCCAGGTGAGCAGTAACAGCAGACCCAGCGCTGCTGGCAGAGCAGAGTTTGTAAGTGGTTTCTGCCAGGCAGCTGGCTGTGGCATGAGCCGGTTTCTTCACCTGTGCGAGGCTGGGGGAGGCATGGAGGCTCGCTGTTGTCTGGGCAGGACCTCACCATGCATCCCTGGGAGAGCTCCGCAGGATTTCTGCTAGACTAGGCTGAGCATCTGTGCCCAAACTGTAGTGAATGCTTCGGGAGGCTGGAGGGATCTTAAAAGCAGGGACAGATGTTTTATGAAGCACTGGGGGAGGGAAAAGCACAAAAGGGTCTCAGTCCTAGCTGGGTCCCTGAACATTGCTAACACACATACAGGAGCAGGCAGACCTCTTCTTTCCAGAAGAATTACTTGTATCTCGAGCTGCTTGTACACTAGAGGGAGAGTCTGGAGGCTAGAGCAGGAGGGGTTTGAACTTGGCAGTCTGTTCCTAGCTCTGCCACTGATTTCCCATGTGGTTTCAGACAAGTTACTTTAATCCTGTGTTCTTGCCTGCCTTCATTTACAGGGTTGATAATACCAGCCTACCTCTGCTGAGCACTTGCAAGCTTAACTAATGTTTTCCAAATGCTTTAGGACACTCAGAAAGCTATCCTGTCAAAGTGAAGCTCACAGCAGCACATGCAGAGTGACATACTTGGCAAAAACAAGGCATGCTAGGTCATGTATGTAGTGACAAGTTCCAAGCTTATAATTTCCTTTTAGAAAGAGAATACAGTGCTAAACCATGAACTAAAACTAAACTGTGAAAACAAGTACATAATACTTTCCAACTTGGAATTCTAGAAATTATGAGAAGGGCAATAAAAAAGCAGAAAACAGTCATGCCAGCCCAGGCATCAGTGGCACGCCTGCACTGTTAGCACTGTGCACAGCCCTGGCTGCCAGTCTCAAGGACACAGTAGGGGTGGAAAAGGTGCACAGGCCAAGTAGCTCAAAGGTATCATATAACCTCTACACAGGGAGAGACGGAGGAGGCTTTTGAGGGGTATAATGAAGATCGGTGACCTTTGCCAAGCAGTATGAAGACAGCATGTCAGTTTTTGCTTTTCATGGTCTTCCACCACTGATAGAGCTTCTTACCAGATGAAACCCACAGCAATGGGTTAGGAAGCATACAAAAGGAGGTTCTTCTCAAAATGAAGGGAAAGTTACCACTACTTGCTCATCTTGTTTTTACACTCTCCCTTCTGTAGTCATCACTGGTCACTGTCCCATACACATCAGGTTTCACTTAATCAGCAGCTTACAGATTCTTACTGGTTTTCTTAATGAGGTTAGACTTGGAGCTGCTCTCCAACACCTGGTATGATTGAAGTGTTAAACAGGGCTATGAACCCTGAAAATTCCAGCAGGCCAGTGGAGCTGGAAGCATACACATACCTGGGTGGCTGCATTATGCAGCAGGGCATCAGGCACAGCAGACCAGGCATTTGCAAGTCGATGCCTTGTTCCACCTCAGCACCCTGCAATAAAGCCATTAGCACAGGATTAAGCAGCAGGGGCAGACACTGTAAGTGAAGGCTCACATTAACTCTTTATGGCTTATAAACCAAACTCTTTCAGAAGAAGGTCAAGTTTCTATCCCAGTATTCCTAGCACCCTGTTGCCAGCATGGGTGAATTTGTATCTTGGCATTTAGAGCTGAAACTTCCTGCACACATATTATCCCAGAAATAATAATTTGTTCCTTGGTTGTATCTATTGTCAAGGAGGTGTCACAGCATCTGTAAGCAGCCATGCATGCATCTTGTAACCTGCATGATAGTGGTAGTAGCGGTGTCGGTATCACTACTGATACCTACAGACTGAGAGAATAGGAGAGACCTTTATGTCTCTGTGAAAGTAGCATGAAAGCAGAGTGTCAGTGTGGACAACTGAACTGACTGCAGACAAAGGAAAAGCAACCTCAGCTGGTTAAGCAAATTAACCCTCTAAGTTGCCCAATGACATTAAAAGAAGTTAGATGGTACTTATTTGTGTGCTAGTTTTATGCTTAGAGAAAAGTCATCCTCTTTCCACTTATCACAATTGCAGTGTTGAAAGTGTTCCAGTGTTTAAAAAAAACTGTGGAGAATCTGCATTTGAATTTAATGGGAGTGGTTTTGCTCTGTGATGGTAATAAGGTACATCTATTAAAAATACTTCGCTCTAGTTGCTGTTTGCTGAAACTAGAATCCTTTGTTCTTTTTAAAGAAAAGAAAAATCCAAACCAGGACCACTTCAGCTGATCTGGACCTATCAGATCTAACTACAACAGCAAATCTAACTACAACTCAGCCTTACACTCCATTTTATCTAAGTGCTTGCATTAGAAAAAAAAGCCAACCACACAAAGACAAGAAGAATTCATTTTTAAGTGGAAACAAAAATAAGTAAACCTCAGCTCTGAATCCAGGGCTAAATAGAAGCATCTAATGTAAAATTTGCAAAGAGAACAAGAATTCTGGTTGAGTACCAGTGTTTCCAGTTGACAGGTGGGAGCAGCAGACACGAGTGCTGGTGCCTTTCTTGACAGCTTGTATTTGGTCTTTTTCCAGTATGCCACAACAGGCTGCTCTCTGACACTCCATCACACAGAAAAGCCAGAACACGAAGACATCTGTGAGTATCGTCCCTACTCCTGCCCATGCCCTGGTGCCTCCTGTAAATGGCAGGGATCCCTGGAAGCCGTGATGTCCCACCTCATGCATGCCCACAAAAGCATTACCACCCTTCAGGGAGAAGACATCGTTTTTCTTGCCACAGACATTAACCTTCCAGGGGCAGTTGACTGGGTGATGATGCAGTCATGCTTTGGTCACCACTTCATGCTGGTGCTGGAGAAACAAGAGAAGTATGAAGGTCACCAGCAGTTCTTTGCCATCGTGCTGCTCATTGGCACCCGTAAGCAAGCGGAGAACTTTGCCTATAGACTGGAGCTGAATGGCAACCGCCGCCGACTGACGTGGGAAGCAACGCCCCGCTCCATCCACGACGGGGTATCTGCAGCCATTCTGAACAGTGACTGCCTAGTTTTTGATACAGCTATAGCACACCTTTTTGCTGACAATGGGAACCTTGGCATTAACGTGACTATCTCTACATGTTGTCCGTGATATGTTTGCATAGCTAGTGAAACCTAGGCTGTCTGGACATAATGCTTTACATTCACAAGGGTTTTCTTCTGCTTCCTTTTTTTCTTTAAAAAAAAAAAAAATGATATTCAACTATGCCATTGTGTATGCTAAGGTTCCTAACTAGCCAACATTTTTAACTTTGGAGAGAAGAGCAATGAGAGTGTCCTATAAGTAACATGAGTGAGAAAAGGTCTTTTTAAATTCTTGGGTGCCTTAGGAAGATTCCACACACACAGTCACCTTTCTTAATTTAATTATATTTTATTTAAGGAGTGCTTCCATTAGACATGTGGCTTAAGAGACTTGAAGGACTGCATTCCTGTTTGGAGCACACCCAAAAGCCCTTTCAGCAGGAACACAGACTTGCTCTCTCACTGGTGAGCTTTAATAACTGTTTTTAGTAGGCGGGAAAGAAATCCAAGCAACCTCTCACAAGAGAGATTGTGACTCAAAGGGGAACAATAGGTACTTCAGTGTTGATACTCTATTTCCTGCTACCTTATTAAAAAGGGATGGGTGTTGGATCATATGCTGGGGTTTTGAAAGAAAAAAGGGGAGGAGGGGCTGGGGTAAAGCAGAGCAGGTTTCACAGTGTGGGAACTGCCAGCTCCTGTCCATTTTAGGGGAATGAGTGAGCCCAGCACATGGCACAACCACTCACAGCCAGGTACAGGTGAGAGCAGGAGGCACGCATCCAACGCATCTAAACCAGCTAGAGCCAAGAATATAGTAATAAGCTGTCCACATGCAGCTTTCCTTGGAGACATACTTGACTATTGATTATGGTAAAAGACTAACAATATAGTGAGAGTTTTATGGCCAGTATCATGTCATTTGCTATTTAAGTTTTGTTGCCATATTTACTTTTATTTTGTAATAAATATTTTGCAAAAACTACACTGCATAGCATGCTGTGCTAACACGTGTGCGTGATGGTAGCTCTTGCTTCCTGGTTACTCTGTGCACTCTGCCTGGTTGGATCTGCTGGGCTTCCCCAGGAAGAGCCAGGTCACCCCAGTGAGCTCCCCGGTTTGCCACCCAGCTCTGCTGCCTGAGAGGGCCACAGTGCAGTACAAGCAGGAGAACCAAGTCTGGATCCGAGTCCCAGGGGCAACAGTGACAGCCTGGCTCATGCAAACTGAAATCACAGTCTGTCACTGAAGCTGAATCTTCTGCAGCTCTTTCTCTGCAACCAGTGCCTTCTGTCTGAATTGCTCAAGAAAAATACTAGCTCCACATATTGGCTTTGCTGAATATTAAGATGCCTGCCACTTGGAAGAGGCAATGGGTTGTGAGGTGATACACCCACTGAGTTATTTAGCGGTAGGAAGCCTCATGGTAGTGGAAAACTACATATAAAGTAACAGATGAAGCTTTGTGTAAATAATTATAATACACATTCCTAACTGTATCCCTCCAGGGAAGAGCTCCTTGGAATTATGACAGTCCTATCTGCAAACATCACCCAGTGTCTGGTGCCAGTTCCCAGAAAAGCCAGAAGAGAATGACATGTATACAACAGCCCCTCTCAGCTGTGCTTCAGCACCACCTGGTAACAGTTAATGGCAGGCAGCAAAATGAGTGACCAAGATCTGCACCTAGGAAACAGTTTTTCTGTTGACAGTTCTCTTCAAAAACAATTTTCACTTTGAACACAAAAATGCAGAAACTCCTAGGAACTGATGAATTCATAGCAAGAACACAGCACAACTTGAGTAGTTCCCACCTGCAACTGTGCCAGCACCAAGCCACGTGCTGCTGGGACAGTGCCTCAGCCTATGCAGCGGCACTGCAGGCAGGAGCGAATGCTGTGGCAATACCAGGATCTGCACCAGCCGAGCATGGTAGCAATCTTCCAGGACCCCAATGCTACAGGGAGCTATCAGCATCAATGGCAGTCAAGCAGCATGTCCAGACACTGCACTAACAAATACCACTGGCTGCGCCTCAACATACTCCTTCCAGTTTTAAAAATTACTGACTTACTTTGTTGTGGAATCCATGTGTTCATAAGACAACTGCATTTTTCTTATACAAAGTCCACATAATGTAGCATATATGTGCTGTCCTAAGGTAACTAAAGCCTGCATTTATTTGCAGATGACGTATCTAAAGAAAATTGCTCCTTCTGCTTCTCCAAGCTGAAGTGCAGATTCCTTGGAAGAGTTCAACAGCATCTAGCCCTACAGGAGACATCAGGAACAGATGTCTGACAAGCATATAATGCAAATCATAGAATCAACTAGGTTAGACAAGACCTTTAAGATCATCAAGCCCAACTGTTATCCCAGGACTGTCAGGTCCATCACTAAATCACTTAGGCAAGTGCTTTGGGTGCAGTTAGAAGTTTGTGCCCAAACAGGAAAGTCACAGCAAGTTCCTTAACCACTGCTTTACTTTCAGCCTTGCTCCCATTCCGTGCAGAAGGCTGCAGGCCAGCTCCGGCCGCTCACCAGGTTCACGGCAGTGGCGTGCTGAGGGCTGCTGCCGCTGCAGGGCAAAGGCAGGAGGGCAGCGGCTCTGTGGGCACCATCGCCGGGGGCTCCTGAAGCACCCGCACCACCCCGAACACCTCCACCTCCCCTGAAGGCCGTTTACGTCCGTCCACACCCGACCGCAGGCCCCCGATCCACCGCGTATAGGGCACGGCAGCACCCCCCCAGACACGCAGCTCACACGTGCCCCGGCAGCCCCCGCGCCTGCCGCGTCCCCATGGAGACGGCGCCCTCCAGCCGCGCCGCAGCGGGCTCGGCCGTGCCGTGGACGGTGCTGGCCGGAAACGGGGCCGGGTAGGACGGGCAGGCCGGGCCGGCACAGCGCAGCGCAGTGCAGCACGGCGCGGTTTCTCCCCGCGGGTCCCCTTGCAGCGTCGCAGGCAGGCCCCGCTCGCTGAAGAGAGACGGGCAGGTCGGTAGCGGGGGCTTGCGTGGAGAACCGCGGGGAATCCCCGGGCTGCAGGCCGCTTCCCGAGGCACTCTGCTGCGGTGGAGCAGGTGCTGACCGATCTCCCTAAAACCGTGGGAGGGAAGGCGGAGGGGAAACCGGCCAAGCGACCTTGGTCAGCGGCTGGCAGGGCCAGCTGGCACCTCCCGCCTCTGTAGCTAGGCCGCTGCCAGCCCCGCTTACTGCATCCACAGCTTTCGGATTTCTAATTAGACACATTCGGAAAAGTCTCCTTCATCGGTACAATGGTCCAGGGCAATCGCTTTGAAGTCATCGTGTGGGGCTAACAGGTGAGTGTGTGTCTTACGCTAAAGGGAACATCGGGCAGCATCGAACCCATCGAGACACAGAAGCTGCCGGGAACTTCAGTGTCGATGCAGAGAGAAGCTGGCTGGCTCCACGAACACTCCTACAGAAAATCAAGTAAGAAACAGCTTTGTTCAAGGAAGAGCTGCTCACTTGTATTGTCTTTCACTCAAGCTGCCTCGGGCTTTCATAGAAGACTTGTGACTTTGCAGTTTCCCAGAGATCTGCTTGCAAAGTGGCAGCAGACCTGGAGCAGCCTCCAGGAGCCCCCGCTGCGGCCTTCTCATTACCCTCTTTGCAGAGCCACTTCTAAATGAACCTGCAGGACCACTCTGCCAGCCAATAGGCATAGGAGTGCTCAGCAGACGGCAGAAAGAGTGTACTGTATTCCTGCGAGAGGTACTGGCAAAGCCTCTCAGGAGAGCTGGAGATGTGTCAACCTTTTCTCTCCTCCTGCTCAGCTGAGCCATCCCAGCATGTGACCGAGTAACCAGCTCCTTCTCTTGCCTGCTTAAGTCGAGCACTGTACTTTGGGGCACAGCATGTTAGTGGTAGTTGCTGCTTGACCCCACCCCTTTTGGGCACCCCATCAAACAGCCTTTGTGCTTTTCAAGTGTTTGGGGTTTGTTTGCCTTTTTCTTTTTTAAAGTGTTCAAAAACCACTAGACAAGGCCCTCAGTGCCACGGTTTAGTGGTGGCCTTGGCAGTCCTGGAGTAATGGTTGGCCTTGAAGATCTTAAAGGTCTTTTCCAACCTAATTGTTTCTATGATTCCTTTTCAACACCGGGCAGCTCTGCTCTGTTGGAGAATGTCTGCCGCACCTCATGTGCCTCTAAGAGTGGGAGTGATCAGAGCCACAAAACAGCACACCAGCTGAAAGTACTGGCGTTAGCTGTGTGCAGATCCATCCCAATAGAAAGGGGACATGCACAGCCCACAACAGATAAACATTGCTCTCTTCTCACTTTGGAAGGATGTTTGTTTGGAAATGCACTGTGAATGCATTTGCAGGAGAAAACACTGTAGGCTTTGTAGCTTAGGTGGAGCTTTACAAGTCCTTGGGGTGACTGTGGCTGTAATACAGAATAACGGTAAATCATCTACTTGGGTTTGGAGGCAGCAGTGGTAGATAGAGATGATTCAGAAGCTGCAAAGTCCATTAGAGGGGGCAGAGTAAGAAGTGGAGTGTCCACCTACCCTGAGTACTGTGCCTTGGGTGCCAGGCTTCCCTGTGTCCCTCGGTGCCATGGTGCACCCAGAGCTGTGCCCTGCCTGTGCAGCTTCACACCAGTGAAGCACCAGCACCATGCACTTTCTGAAGTTACTTCTTCTCAGGTGGGATTTATGATCAGCTACACTCTGTGACATAGCTTGATTGCTGTGGTGATAACTACGTGTCTTTGAACTGCAATTCAAAAGAAGTTCAAGCAAACCAGTATCCACATAATTCAGCCTTCTAAAAGTATAAGCAACTCCCATAGCATTGCTTTCACTTTTCCTTCTGTGTTGGTGCATTCAGTCACTTCCAGGTGCATTCCTGAGCTGTGGGTCCCACTGCAAGCCTAGGAAGCTGGGTGTTGACATGGGGCTGTTGTGATTTTTATCCCATCCTTGTTCTCATTTTTTTTCATACTTTCCAAAGAGAAGAATTTAGATTTTGGTGTTTCAGCCTGCCCAGAGTTTCATCTGGCTGAGTATTTTCTGGAAAGCAGAATAAGCTTACTTGGAAGGGCAAGACAAACTGGGTGGCAACAAGGGGAACTGAAATTGAAGGCTAAAAGGACCTAGAATGTGTTAGCTTGGCTGAAGGGGAGGCTGTAGCAGTTGGCATGTGAGCCATGTTGATGTTCAGACAGGAGATGATGTATATGGGACAGGACACAGCTGTGCACCTGAGGTAGCTGGATGTCAGCCCTCCTGAGGACAGTGCTAGACACCCAGTCATCTGAGATGTTTCCTGTCACTCCAAAGGGCAGAGAACCTTTGTTGTGTTTACACAGCATGGACTGTACTTAGAAATGAGAGAAAACCTCAAATGTCTCTACAGCTCTTTCTTTTTAGGACTAGAGAAGCTGGAAATGCTTTAGAGGATAGTGCAGTATTAGCTCAGTGCTATAAGTCACTGACCCTCAGCAGTAAGCTATCTCCATGACTTCAGTGGGACACTTTTGTAAAGCCCTGATCCCATGTCAGTGCCCAGTTACAGTCCCTCAGGCATCTGGGAAGGGTTACATGCAGATCCAGGTTTCCTGTCTGAAACCAGTAGCAAGTCTGGCAAGAAGGCCTCAGGCAGCTGATGTGATCGATGAGAAAAGGCTGGCATGCTGAAAGAGGAACAAAACAAATATGTCTAGAAGATAAGTTTTCTGAGAGCACAGTATGGCGATTTGATAATTCTCATTGTCGCTATTACTTGCAGCCCTGTAAGAAGAGTCCAGAAGCTTAGATGTTTTGTGTGACATGGAGGTAAGGACTTACCCAGGTTGCATGCACATGCTTAAGGGGTTTACCTCTGAACAAAGATATGACTCCAAATTGCTTTTGTTATTTTCCACTTTGAGTTGGAAGAAGATTTTGTGAAGCTGTTCAAGAAATCACTGCGCGCGTTCCCATCCACTGGCCTGCCTAGCCTTCTGGCCTACAGACCTGAATCGTTACGAGAAATCTTACAGGCTGAGGTGAGTCAGTGGTAGATGTGCCCTACTGTGTGGCTTTTGCTGTTTATTTCCTACGATTCCCATGTAGAAAAAAAATAAAAATAATGCCCTTTGCCAAGCCAGTGCTAGAGTTCCTTTACAAAAGAGTTTTTCTTCTCGAAGGCTCTTGAAATTATGCTTATTGTGCACTCCTGAACAGCAAGAGGCTGTGCAACTCCTCTCCCCAACGCTGCATCCTGTGTTGAGAATTTCCTAGCAGAATTTGCCCTTTGGCTAAAACAGTGGTACAAAATTTGTATAAATACTAGGTATACTGTTAAAGAATTACAAGAAGGGCATAGAGTTCCCCATAACTCTTATCAGAGTAAAGTCATCAAAGAGAGCTAGGCATGAGGTGGGGAAGCCAGGGAATTTCCAAGAATAATGCTCCAGAGAAGCCAGGTATTTCAAATTAATATGTTCTTTTCTGAAATTGAAGGATTTGAATGAAAGTGTTAAACACACAGTATAGTAAATCAAGTGTAAGTGAAGCACACCAGCTAAGTGGCCTAGAGCAGGTACCTACCCTCCACCCCTTGCTGCTGCTAATGGACTGCTCTCAAGGAGCACTGAGCTTGGTGTGCTGCCCTTGGGAGTGGAGGCATTAGGCATGGAATTCAGCAGCACACTCTTGGCAACTGCACCTTCTGTAACTCAGTTTCAAAATGTGTTTTCAAAAAATAAGATATTTATTTCAGAATATCTAGTACCCATCCTCAAAATATACCCCAGAGCAGTCCTGATTTGCATTTGGTCAAATACGCTCAGCTCTTTTGTCAACAAATCTGCTGGTGGTTCCTCATGAAATTCCCCACAGCTTTTCCTATGATCAACAGTGCAACAATGTTGGAGCTTTTTCTCTCCAAAGCCCCAAGCAACATACCTGAAAGGGTTAATGCATCAGAGTACTCAGCTGTAGCATTCTTCATGCTCTGAAACTTTCTCTTGGAAGGAATGGGTCTCATAGGTACTACAGTTATTCCATTTATTTGAGGATTTTTATTTATTTACTTACTACAGAACAGCTTTTCTTTTTGGTGGTTTCCTGAACCTAGTGTTTTGAGTTAAATTGTCCCAAGACGTCACAGACACAGATCTGTTTTAACTGCTCTTACACATTTTATGACGTTGCATTTTGAGCATAGCCCTCTTTCCCCAAGATAAAATGAGGATTTGTGTGCTGATACTATTATTTTTGTCCTCCCCATGTTCTCTCTCCCTACCTCCACTTCAGATAGAGGAGGACTTTGCTCCAAGATGTGAGTATTGTGGCAGCCTGCTGAAGCCATTCCCTTCCTTTGAAGACATTTGCCCACTGTCACAGGATTATGAATCAGTAAGCTGGTGGCAAAGATTAGCAGAGCTTGGCTGTGGAAAGGCCTACTCTTATGGCACTGCTCTTCTGCCTTTCAGAAGTTTTGCTGTGAACATAATCGAGACCTCTATGAGTTCATCATGAATGAGAGGAAGATCTGCAGAGGCAACTGGAACATTCTCACTGATGTTGGCCCCCAGAAGACCCATGAGGGGAAGACCCACAAAGGTGCCTGGAACATTCCCATTGATATCGGCCTCCTTAAGTCCCATGAGAGGAAGACCCATGAAGGCATCTGGAGTGTTCCCGTTCATGTTAGCACCCAAGAGTCCCATGAGGGGAAGACCCATGAACGTGCCAGGAGCATTCCCACTGATGTCATCCCCAATGAGTCCCATGGCACCAAAGTCGACAGGCTGCTGTCAGAGGAGAGGGTGTATGAGAGGTACCATGAAATGACTACAGGGGGAACTGGGGATCTGGTCTGTGTAAGGCGCAACAGATCACTCTTGGGAGAAAACAAGCATTAAGAAAATGAAACTGCAGCAAGAGGCAATGAGAGAAGAAATATATTTGATTTAGGCAACACAAGTTCACATTCTGTCTGCAGCCTCTTTGCTTTTCTCCTATCAGGCTGTAGTAGAAGGTGGGGAGGTATGTATTGAGTAAAGCATTCATTTTACTACTTTCAGACATAGTATCTAGAAACAGGTAAAGCCAAAAACATAACTGCAGCTGTGGGTGGGATAATACTCAGGTCTAGCTTTACCCCAGATACTGAAACAAACCTTGAATTTGTGTTTCTCTATTTTGCTGCATAAACTGTGACCAAACATTTGGATTCTAGTTTCCAGTCACAAGAACTCTGCAAGTTTGACTTCTACTGGGCTGTTTAGTAGGAGGCCTAAAGATTATACAAATATCCGAGTCTATAGCATAGGCTTAAAGAAATCAGTATACCTGGACTTAAACTGCTAGCTTGCTTGAACATCCTTTGCAGTATTATGGTGTCAGTACCTCATA